TAGTGGCTTGCATGTGGAAAATCAGCCAATTTTGCTTTTCTTTTGACCCGAAAGTGGTTCTTATGTAGATAAAGGATATTGCACGTTGTAATAACTTTAACTTTTCACAACTTCCCTTCAACCGATTAATCTTAACACAAGTGGGATGTTCAATTCCATTTAAGTTTGACAATTTCTTAGGTTTCCATTAAAAAAAAAGGTCATTTTTTTGAAAGGAAAAAGCAATAATTTGCTTGTATACTTTTTTGAAAAGCCATTTTTTAAAAAAAAAAAATTTATATTTTTTGTGAACATATCTGTCAGTCAATTTTTTATCTCACATATATTAAATCGCTATAATACATTTTTTTTAAAAAAAAAATTAAAAAAAATAACAATCCAAAAAAACTGTGCACCGTAAAATGATACGTCCTCCTCATTTTCTCGCATGATGCATCATCTAGTACCAAAAACATTGTCGACTTGTATCCCAGCTTGGAAACGAGGTTTTTTTTCACACAAAATTGAAATTTGAAAGCAAAGTAAAGAAGGTTCATCCATACGAGAACTGAAAGGATCCTCTGCGCAAATTTTGGGTGGAAAGGCAGACTAATTAATTTCAAAATCAGTTTTTGTTTGTAATTGTGAAATTGATTTGGTAATTAATTTAAGCAAACATGACAGACTTCTCTGTTCAAGTTAAATTGTTAAAGTGCATCTTCAATTGTTAAAAAGCTTTTCAATTAGCAAGTGCATTCTCGTTAATAGATATCTTTTTCATACTTTTTTGTTTGTAAAAAAAAAAAAAAAAAAAAAATTAACAAGGGAAGGGTGAAATTTAAAAAGCAGAAGAGGGAAGAAAAATTTGAATACAAGACTTCTAAATCTTCGGATGTCAACATTAGCTATAAGAAAAAAATACTAACGTTCTTAGGAATGTAGTTGATATTCTTGAACTACAATTTTTTCTTCTAACTTTCACATTTCTCAAAGGTAATCTGCTTTCAATTACTATAGTCGAATAAAACTACTTTAAAGTAAGTGAAAAAAGACTCAAAAAGTCTGTCTATATTTGATGTTTTTCTCCATTTTCGTTAACATAGAACCTAATAAAGTGCTAACAAATTGAACATGTATGGAAGCAAACTACTTCTTCATACTATCTCCAGCAAAGCAAACCAAAAAAAAAAAAAAAAACCTTTAATACTAAAAGTAAGGAACTTAAAGAAATACATTGGAAAATATGAGCGATTGATTTGTGTGTTTTAGGATCAATTTTCCTTTCATTTTACATTTTGGTATTCATCTTGGCGCAGGATCACAGCGCTTCCGAGATTCACGCTCGCAAAACTTCCGTCGCATTGTCAGTACACAAAAAGGAACTACAAAAGTCCCCGATGGCTCCCCGACAGAGAATCATTATTTAACTCTTTTCAGTTGGGCTCTACCTTCACGGAAATTGCCTTATTTCGCAAAATTGGAAGTGGAGACTTTCTCCAGTCCATTGACCCGAATCACGCACGCACTCCCAAAATGGGAGAGTTTCTACAATTCCAATGGCTTGCAAATGGAAGTATAAAAGCGGGCTCCAAATATTTCTGCCAGCACCAAAGTAACGTAGTCAGAAATGTGGGGAAAATTCAGGCTTGCACTCGTCAGCTTCTTCTTCACCTTGATCGAGCTTGCCAAGCGGCTCCGGCTATGGAGGAACGACAGGCCCATTTCGCCAGAGTTGCCCACCACCCAACTCGAGCAGCCTAGTGCAGTATTCTCCGAAACAGAGCAGCAGCAGCTGCCCCTGCCTATGATCCAGCAGCAGCCCGGTAATAATGATCATGATCCTCGCGTCCAGATTGATAACATGATGAACATGCAGTGGGCATTGCTGGTCATTGGAGCTTGTTTTGCGGCCATTACCATTATCTTGCAAGCTCTCCAAACTCGTCCAACTCTCCCTGTAGCTTCAACCTTTCCCTGGTTCTGCATGGCTTTCGAGATGGCCTTCTTAGCTTTGTTGGTATCTGTTTACATACGTAGGCATTACCCCCAGGCATCTCGTGTCATGGAGCACGTTGCAGTCTTCTTCTGCGTTGTTGCACTTCTCCTGGCCATCTTGATGACCCTCCATCCCCCACACAAGCAGATGTCTGTCGCCCTCTTCTTCATTGGATTCACCATAATAATCCTTGCCAATCGTTCTCTACGTGACTGGTGATTTTCCTCTTTCTTTCTTTCTAGACTTTTTCCCTTTATTTTGGTTTTATAAAGTTTGTTAATACAGAGATATATCTGAAACAGGGTTTAACAGGACTGCTGCAGTGTTATTCTCTGATGTATGCGATTTAACATCTCCACCGATCATTTTCTACCTCCTAGCAAGTTAAAATTCTCTTTTCCACTCTGTATTTTCGTTTTCAGCATTTTAGTACGTGTTGTTTTTATAAGCGTTGGACAGGTACGTGCAAGACAGGACAAACAGAGACCATGCATGTTTGTTGTTGGAGGAAATACTTGCATTATATTTCCTGTGACGAGTAGTTTTATGTTTTTCTTAGGCAGTTTCCTTTCTTACATTGTACTCCTATTTATATTAAAGTGGATCTTTTCTGTTGTGAAGCCTGCCTGTTATGGGTTTGATGGCCTTGAATATTTTTTCTTTTTTCCTTTTTATTTGAAAAAAAAGAGAGAGTAAAAAAAGGTAATTAGGAAAGGATTGGACTCACAAAATTTAGAATTGTCAAGTTATGCACCTCATTATTGGATTTATTGAAGGACATGGAAGGGAAGAAGAAAGGATGTGGATCGGAACTAATCAGATGGCTCAGGTTGAACAAGGGACAATAATCGATCATTAACTCCAAACTGCCTATACTGCTGATGGATCTTTTCTAATAGTATCTCCTATTAGTTTTAATACATAGTTCAATAGGGTTTGAGTATGATGGATGATCCCATCCCTTTAGAAGAGACAACCTTTTAATTGCATTCACCATAAAGTTCACTCAACAGGCCAACAAAGACACAAAAAATTGATCCTCACGGACAAACCAAAAATACACTATCTGATATTATGATTATTTATGAGTCCTACATGTGAATTATGCAACCATTCTCCTTACAAGTTTTAACCAAAGCCCAATTGATCAATGAGTCATTCTAACATCGTGCACTGCTAAGAGCAACCTGATATCCAAGTCCATAAACCAATCATCCTCCCTGAGTTTTTCTGTCAAAGTATATTAAGAGCAGACAAGCCTAGAATACTTTGAGGTAAATTCTTGATCTTGAAAGTTCAACGGTAAACTATGTCATCCTATCTGGAAAATGAAGGTCATAAAGCATGCAAACCTAGTCCGGTGCAGTTATTTTACCACTTCACTAACTGAGAGTGCATTTTTATCATTCCTCTGTTCTTTCCTATCGTACCATATCACAAACTACTGTTGATTGCTGGGTATCTTTCAGTCGAGTAAAATCCTTCTTTTGCAATTTCTATTATGAATAACTTCAGTTCAATGACATCCAATAATTGCTAAAAGGAAGCTACTCTGCGCCAGAGCATACAAGGAACTGTTACTCTTAGTCTGTGAAATGTCATGCAAACAGAGCTACAAGTAATGGAGCTTATATGGAGAGTGGCCTTTCATTTAATCATTAATTTGACAAGCATTCACTCTATCTTGTTTTAATGTTCCAGAAACATTCTTATAGACTTACTGGTTACTGCAGTTGATTGCCAATAAGCGTGCTACCATCTGAGGAATATCGTGTGACTTTTAGTGTTGGAATCCGGCATTATGTGGAATAAAAAGACCAGCAAATTTAATGAAAACAAGAAGTTACTGTATAAAAGAGGACCAGAGATTCAAGAAATACTATCTAGAATTCTTCTTCTCAGAAGAGATCACTTTGCTTTGTTTTTATTGGACTTTCAATGCAAGACTACCCTCCAGAAACATGTGATAACTCACATTTGATCTATTGATAGATGTTCATTATTTAAGTATAAATTACCAAATTAATGAGAAGCAAATTAATGTTATTAGTTGTTAACCAAAAAATGGCCCCAGCAGTTCAAATTTTTTTCAGCTTCATCCGAGTTTTAGTAACAGCACTTTGGCTTCAAAATCAAGAACTCTGGGAACAGATTTATGTGGAGATTTTATGATCAAAATAAGACACTTCTATATGATATTTACTCTTTGCTGTTTTCTAGTGCTGTTCCAGACTCCAGTTAGATGCTCATCAACTACAATATCCTTTTTTTTTTACTTCTCCGACCAGAAAATTTAAACAGAAACTAGTAGAACTAGAGAAGATTATGCAGAAGATTTGCACCTTGTAGAAATGCATTCTGAGCAGAATACTGACTTATAGGTGCGAAGAGATTGTGTTCCGGTAACTGGGCACACCAACAATTTTTTGTTTTTTCTTGAGGGGAATATTTTCTCGAATAACAAAGCATGCTCAAGGTGGTTCCTCATTTGGTCATAAGTTCGAATCTCACTAACACTTGCCCTAAATTGGAAACGTTTCAACCATATCACTTCTTTTGTATTATTCATCACCATCATCACAAGTCACAGCCACCACCATCCACCACCACAACCAGCAGCAGTCCTTCGCCCACCCAAATCTCCACCACCACCAGTAGCTTCAAAATTTAAACCTTAAATTCCCCTCCTCCTTCACCCCCCACTTCTCCTCCTATGTTACCCTCTAAATACTAATACTGTAGAGATGTCACTCCCCTTCCACTATTACCAAGCCCAACCTCTTTACCTAACCGAATCATCAACTCTACTTCATCTCATCCAAAAGAAAAACTTTAATAAAAAAAAATTTCCGAATCAGAGATGACTAGTAGTATTATATATACTAGTAATGGAGTCAAGCATATGGGAGAGATCAGATCTTCATCTTGCTAGTGAACAATTACCATATATTCTTCAAACATAGTAAAATAATGTGAGTCCTGCAGTCAAGTCCCGCGTCAACAATATCAGCTGACGAAAAGACCTGTGCATGACCGACGTGGCTCTTCGTAGACCGGTTGTAACTGAATAACCAAGATAGCACAGCAGATAATTCCATCTTACAAAACTTGTTTGTGGGATTTTAAAAGTGAAGGTAAGTAGTTATCATGGTACCAGCTGTCAAGTAGCATGAAGTGAGAGATCCAACGATGTTCATGAGGCCAAAAGCTAACATCTCCTTGTTTCCGTCAATTTGCTCATTTTTCATGATGGCAAAACTTCTTCCAATAGCAATTCCTTCCTGCAACATATATAACACTTCCTATTGTTTGACAAAAATAATTACAGGATTGACTTCATTTGTCAAATGGTACGGCATTCAAATTTCGATATCTTACTGCTATAGCGATCATTTGTCAAATTCGCTTAATTTGCGAATTTTTTTTTTGTTTTAATAGTTCATAAATTAAGTGAGTGCTTCAGATTTTTATTTCTTGCTGTAACTTGAATTGAATCAAATCTAGCTCGAAGTATGTAAACTTTTTATTTCCTTTTATATCTGTGTCTTACTTGGAATTCGTTCTAAATACAATACCAAATAACTGCAAAATCCAAAAAAAAAAAAAAACAGAGGTGTACCAGTCACGCGGAGAACGATTGGCAATGATGATTATGAAGAAACAAATGCAGCCGACGGCGATGCATATCTCAATCATTGGGTTGTGAAGAGGCATTGAAATGGCTAGGAGGAAAGCCGTAGCGCCGAAGAGTACAGCAAGATGCTCCAGGATCAGAGATGCCTTCTCGGAACGGCGTCGAATGTAGATAGACACCAAGGAAGCAAAAAGGGCCAGCTCGAATGTCAGGTAGAACCAGGGAAAGGTCCTGGGGAGAGGCGCCGGAGTTTGGAGAGCTTGCAAGGCGGTGTTAACAGCCGGAAAACAAACTCCGATGACCATCTGCCCCCACTGCAGCTTGGTTGGCATGTCGGGAATTTTGGGACCATGATCATCAGATTCAGGTAGTCTCCCACTTGTACCTCGCTCGAGGTCGTCGTTGATGGGTGTGGGTTGTGGCTGTGGGGCTACTGAGTCGTCCGCCCTGTTCTGCCGTCTGAAAATCGGCAGCTCGGCGAGCTTGAGGTTCAAGGCCCATACCAAGAGGAAGGCCAAAACAACAGTACTGGTTTGTCCCCTCATTTCTCAGTGCTCACAGAATGTATATTATATGGGCAATTACGTATAAAACTGGCAGTAATATATTATTAAAGCAAGCAGAACGACAGACAGGAAGTGTTTGTATACTACCAGGAAAATTCAAGATGCAACTAGAGCATAAGAAGGAGGAGGAGGAGGATGTAAGTTTGGCATGTCGCGCGGTTGTATTTATAGGGACGGACGGGTCCTGGCCGCCGCATTAACTTAACTTGGGACATGCTAATGCCTAATTGGTTGGATCATCTGACGTAATTATATTATTTTTAATTTAGGGAGACTGAAAAGTATGCGCCATGAGACTGAATAGTTGACGGTTCGACTAATTTGGCAGGAACCTTGAAATGAAGACTATTTCTTAGATTAAATCACAAGCAAATGGGTAATTCAGGCATTTCATTTCCCCTTTTTTTTTTGAAAAAATTCTTTTTAATTCATGCATTTTTTTTAACGTGTGAACATTTCGGAATGGTAGATAACGATAATCGGAGTCGGACTTCACGCATAATCGGTGAATTGTTAGAGAATAAATCCATTTTATCCTTTATAATAAAGGCAAAAAAAATAAAAAGAAGAAAAAAGAACTAACAATACAACACCGTAAAGGGCATCAAGCTTTATATATGGCACATATATGCTTCCTAAAAAATGCCACTGGAGGGAGAGGGGAAAGAATTCTAGCGTCTGAACTCTAGAGCAAGAGGGCAAGCCCAAACAAATTCCTATGAAATGCCATTGGAATTGTCGAAATTTAAAGCATAACCAGTCTATCTGCCTATGAAAAAGCCACTGAAGTTGCTCAAAATTACCGGATAACCGGTCCATGAGCACTGTAGCAACTCCAACTCGCGCTTTTAGTATAGTAAGGACTTTTCGGAGTTCATTTATAGAAAACAACTTTGAAAATCACGACATATTCAAATGATAGATACAAATATAGGAATTTCTAAAATTAAGGAGATGGACCATGATTTAGTTTACATTTGTCATATAAGTCATATGTCATTTGGAGTAAGACTTTTTTTTATTTTTATATCCAATGGATTATGTTTTCACACTGTGATGTATCAAAATAGAGATATGACAGTGTGTGCCTAAAGAAGATAGTAGTCTAATAAAGTTTTTCTGCAATTTACAAACTAAACAAATCATGATTACTTTGAGTTATTTTACGAGTCTAACAAAGAGAATCTAACTTTATTTTACATTACTTGAGAAAACAATCGAATGGAGTTTGATTCTGTTGATTCTTGAATAAGTCCTCCTCTGAAGGCGTTGGTGTTGGAAGCCTGAACAAAACTAACCAAAGGATTGAGAATGTGGATCCTATTTATATTAAAGTGGATCTTTCCTATTCTGAAGCCTGCTTGTTGTGGGTTTGATGGACCTGAACTTTTCTTTTTCTTTTTTTTTTTTTTTTGAAAAACAAAGAGTGAAAAAGGAAAGGTATTAAGGAAAGGATTGGGCGAAGAGGATGTGGGGAGGAACTAATGAGATGGTTCAGGTTGAACTAGTACTAGGATGGGGAAAAGGGAAATGGATTAATGGAACAAGCATAATAATTGATCATTAACTCCAAACTGCCTAGACTGCTGACGGATCTTTCCTAGTAGTATCTCCTATTAGTTTTAAGGTGGATGATATATAGTTCAATACGGATTTGAGTATGATGGATGATCCGATTCCTTTACAAGAGACCTTTATATGGCGTTCACCATAAAATTCATCCAACAAGCCAAAAATGACACAAAAATGGATCCTTACAGACAAACCAATAATACACCATCTGATATTGTGATTCCAAGATGTGAATTATGTAACCATTCTCTTTACAAGTTTTAACCAATACCCAATTGATTAATGAGTCGTTGTAGCATCTTGCACCACTAAGAGCAACCTGATATCCAAGTCCATGAAGCAATCATCCTCCCTGAGTTTATGTATTACAGTATTATTGAAAGCAGACAAGCCTAGAATACTTTTTGGCAAAATCTTGACCTTGAAAGATCAACGGTAAACTGTGTCATCCTATCTGGAAAATGAAGGTCATAAAGCGTGCAACCCTGAAAAATGAAGGTCCGATGCAGACATTTTACCGCTGGAAAATGAAGGTCACAGAATGTGCTGCGATTGAATTTATAATTATATAGAAGATGATGCATCTTTCCTGTTCAGAGTCTAAAGCCTATTATTGGATTGATGGCACCGAAACATTTTTTTTTAAAAAAAAAATGGAGAACATAGAATTGGAATGTCAATACATAGAGCTTTACAATTCTGCACCTGATGATTGGATTTATAGCATTGCATGCAACAAAATAAGAAAGGATGTGGATAGGAATAACTAGAATTGCTAACCATGATAGACTATCTACGACTTTTTTTTTTTTGGGTGTAAATAGCCATGATTCACTTTATTCCCTCCCTTGAAAGTGCAATCGGCCGGCCCAAAATCTTTAGTCTCAATACAATTGAGTTCCACTCTATTTTGTGGCCTCATGTTGATTGAGACGCCAGCCCGGGAGAGCATTGGCAGCAAAAACTTGGAAGAAGAAAAATGTTTTCTAACACATTACTTGTGAACTGTGAACTGTGAAGTGTTGGGGTGGATTGTGAACTGTGAAGCTTTGGGGAGGATTTTGACTTTTGAGTGCTCTGCTTGTGAACTGTGAAGTGTTGGGGTGAGAATTATTTAAACCCGAGTGGTATTAGTTTTATTTTTGTTGAATAATTGGATTTAAACGTGAGTGCTTTCGTCACGTTTGATACTTCGTCAAGTTTTGAAGACCCATAAGCTCTTCAAAATCCTTAAATTTTCTTTTCATGCTATCATATTGCGGAATAATTTCTTGCGGTTTTAATGCCAAAAGATTGGAAGAAGGTACTGTATTAAATTTACTTGTTTTAAAAAGCAATCTCCTTAGTTAGTAGGTTATATAAAAATTAAAGTTTATCTGCAAATTATGTACATCATGTGTCTAGAGATAATTTATCTTATTGTATGTTCAACCAAAACAGTTGTTGAAATTATATGCTTAATTTCTATGACTTTCCAGTAATCTTGATAAATTTTTATTAAAAAAAAAGGCAAAGTATATGCCTTCAACGAAGAATATGATGGCCAATGTAGGAACAAAAACACTATTATATATTTCCAATTCATTCATCAAATTATAGTAACAGCAAAATTTACTAATCAAAGCAGGTGATAGTTTGGATTTTGATTAGGTTCCGCGGGAATGCACAAGCCTTAAAGAGGTAAATGTGATACCTCCAATTTGTCCCATACCGAAAATTTGCGGTGAACTTGTTTGGGATATGACTTTAGATTCATTGGGCTAGGAGAAAAACCTTGCTAAAGGCTGTTGGGCTAATCCTTGGGCTCAAGGATACTCTCACGGAAGAGAACCTTCGATGAAAGCGACGACATTGCGACTCAATTCACCAGTTTGCGAATTTCAATAAAGATCACCAGTTTGCGAAGGTGCGACTCAAGTTAATTAGTCTGGATGAAAGCTCAGTTGCGTGACTCAATTTCAATAAATGGTAAATAAATGGATGAAGGCTCGGTAAAGATCACCAGTTTGCCAAGGTCTCAATTTCAATAAGATCATGAACTTCTGAAAATATCAAAATTACCCTTATAAATACATAACACACTAATTCCATATAATTTTTATATTTTATCATGTAACTCCCTTAAAATTTAATACTTTACCATATAACATTTTTATGGTTTTCAAAATATACACATAACCTCCTTTGATTAATAAATAATTTTCAACTTTACATTAGGGTATTTTTGACATTTTAGGTGAAACAGTTACAAATGATCATTTCCGTCACTTTGACACTTTGACCCAAATTATGAGAGGATTATATACAGTTTTTGAAACTATAGGGGGTTATTTAAAAAAATACTAAACCATAGGGGGTAAAATAAAATTTGCCCTAGAAATATAAGCCAAAAAAAAGGAGCGGGTCCAAAACTACAAGTGTAAATTAGCGATTGGTTGTAGACTTCTGACTTCTGAGTCAACCAAAACTACCACTTCTCCATCCCTGCCAAGAGCAGAGCCTTGCGCATAATTGTATATATATGTAGGGGACGAAGCACTTTACAGGGAGAAGCCTAGACAATATTGGAGTGGCGGTGCAGCTTAAACCCCAATCCCCTCCTCCTCCTCCCCCTTTTGATATAGATTCTGTGATCACTGAGAAATGAGGGGACAAACCAGTACTGTTGTTTTGGCCTTCCTCTTGGTATGGGCCTTGATCCTCAAGCTCGCCGAGCTGCCGATTTTCATACGGCAGAGCAGGGCGGACAACTCAGTAGCCCCACAGCCACAACCCATGCCCAAAATTCCCGACATGGCAACCAAGCTGCAGTGGGGGCAGATGGTCATCGGAGTTTGTTTTCCGGCTGTTAATACCGCCTTGCTAGCTCTCCATACTCCGGCGCCTCTCCCCAGGACCTTTCCCTGGTTCTGCCTGACATTCGAGCTGGCCCTTTTTGCTTCCTTGGTGTCTATCTACATTCGACGCCGTTCCGAGAAGGCATCTCTGATCCTGGAGCATCTTGCTGTACTCTTCGGCGCTACGGCCTTCCTCCTAGCCATTTCAATGCCTCTTCACACCCCAATGATTGAGATATGCATCGCCGTCGGCTGCATTTGTTTCTTCATAATCATCATTGCCAATCGTTCTCTGCGTGACTGGTACACCTCTGTTTTTTTTTTTTTTTTTTTTGGGATTTTGCGGTTATTTGGTATTGTTATGTTTTTTGTTTTTCTTATTGGAGTATTTGATACATTTGAATCAGGGTTTGACAGGGAGAATGGTGCTTTTGCTGGAGACATTTAAACATCTTCTGCCACGGTTTCATGACTTGATCATCTCTCTTTGTATGGTCTTTTCTTGAAGTTGTTTCAGGAGACATGTATGTGTGTGTTGTTTCAATAATGATTACTACTGTACTTTAAGTTTGTTAATTGTTGGGAATGTTGAAATGATGCTTTGATTGGATTTTTTTTTATGCGTGTCTGGATCATGTGGGTTCCATTCCAATCGTTTGACCTATGGAACGAAGTGTCTATTATATTATAAAAGAAATAGTAAAATATCACGTAGTGCGGGCTAACTTTCCTCTAATTATAAATAACCGGCAATAAGGCTTCTCGTTAACTGATTACCTTTTTGGGCGAAATGTTGGGGGTGAGAATTATTTAAACCCGAGTGGTATTAGTTTTATTTTTGTTTAATAATTGGATTTAAATCCGAGTGATTAAATCCGAGTAGTTTGATATGCCTCGTTACTCGTTAGTAGCTAAAAATTTTCTAATGTAAGTTAGCGTAGATTTGCCTCTCCTTTTACATAATACAATATGGGATCTTATTTAGCAGATGATACCAAACTTAGCTGATGTACGCGCCACACAAAGTTTAGTTCAAGTTACAAAAACGCTATCAAACGGCACAGGGTTACACAGTACTATGAAACACCATACATAGCTAGCCATGACTGGAAACTTCCAACTTCATATGGCCTACAAGGATTGCATCATATTGTATACGCATGTCACTATGATGATTGAATGATCTCATTCAATTGATCTACTGCATCATATCTTGTCCTGTATTACAAAAAACTTCATTTTTTTTTTTTGGCCACGATGTTTTCATATGTTTTCTAGCTTGCTAGTGTACAAAATGCGTTCTTTCACTCGTGTGTTTGCTTGGACGGAAAAATAATACTTAAAACTTGTGCACCTAACATTCGCCATATATATATATATATATATATATATATATATTATATATATATATATATATAATATATATAAGCATATGCCTCTAGAATAGGAACGATATATCTTCAATTGATTTCATCAAACTTTTTAATATTGCACCAGCTGCTCACTGAACTTTTTTTTTTGGGCCAAAATAGCTACTCATCTCTAGAAAACGCACCACTCAAGTCCTTTCGATGTATTTATTGGCTAATCCAGCCAAAAGCACAATAAAATATGCAAATTAATAACTAGTTTCTTCTGGCTGGATTAGCCACTAATTGACTTCCCTTCAGATTTTAATTCACTTTAACCTTTTTTCTAATGTTTACAGTAACTCATCCATTTTTTTTATTAATCATCTAAAATCTCGGTTCTAGTTTCAAAACAACTAATTCAATTATTTTTATTAGTACTCATTTACAATCTCAATTCTGGTTTGAAAGCCTCTATGCCAATTATGATTATCAATACTCAACTATAATCTGGCTCTACATCAATTATGTATACGATTACTCATCTACAATCTTGCTTCCAGATTGAAATTTACTATGTCAATTACGACTATCAATACTCATTTACAATCAGAGTCCCTATTTAAAAGCCATTATACTAATTATGTATACATTTGGAGTAATCATAAACATAATTGACATACTGGCTTTCAAATCCGAAGTCAATTATTCTGAAAGCTGCTATGTCATTTTGTTTATAAATACTCATTTACACTAGCTAACTATTATGTTTCAACTATCATAAGTCTTTGGTTAAGTAGTCTTTGGTTAAGTATTCATTTACACCTTAAAGTGTTGATTTGTCATCATTAGAGCTATCAACCACAATCTAATTATATTTACTTGCCAAACCTGCTCACTAATAAATGGACTTGGATATGAAATGAATTTTAAATGAGTATGCAATTAAACTCATTTAATTGGTAGACAAAAAGTTGACTCGCCTCACCCATTTATACCCATTTAAAAATAATTATACATTTAAACTCAAATTTTAGTGGGTGTTAAGTAGATAAATTTGAATCTTCTACCAATTTAATAATAATAAAATGTCATTATTTCTTGTCAAATAACTCACCCATTATAATTTATAATCGTATACTTGGGCACGCCAACTTCTATTTGCATAATTAATGCAAAAGCAATAATGCAGTGGATGTACAACTCTGAACCCAAGTATGGTTTAAATCAAGGCCTTCTGTCATAGAACAAAATTTTATGTGTTCCACACAAGACGTCGAAAAAATGATACATAATGTGATTTGAATCTTATATTTCTTTTTAGATCAATCTTTTCTCTTAGCCTTTCAGAAATGGTCATTGTAGCCAAATTCTACCCTTCCTACCCAAATTCTCCAAATTCGATACACAATTTCGTCAAAATTTCAGGAAGAAAACAATAACAATGAGAAAATGAATAAATGATTCGAGCAAAGTTACATGGGTCTTAATGTAAAGCTGAAATTTTGATGCAGTTAAGAGCGAGCATGGGGTTTTGTTTCCAATTCTCTGTTGAATGAAAGTGCTCGTCACCTGGGGAATTTTGCATGTTTAGTTGTTGGGTAGTACTGTTGACTAATAAGATACTCATGAAAACAAAATGGGCCGGCCTAAAATCCTAGTCTCAATAGCATCTAACTCCACTCTATTTTGGGGCCTCATTCTGATTGGGAAGCCAGTCCAGGAGAGCATTGGCAGCAAAAAGTTGAAAAAAAAAAAAAAAAAAGTGTCCCTGGCCCTGGGGAAGATTTTGATTTTTTGACTGCTCTGCCTGTGAACATGAAGAAGGTAAACCCCATTAAAATGCTTCTCAGATTACTCAAATCTGGCAGGTTATTAAAATGCTTCTCAGATTACTCAAGACATCCCCAACAGATGTCTGCATCTAACATTTTTCCCCCTTTTTATTACTGATGAGCTAAATTGTTCCTTCTTTTTTATAAAGAGGAAATACATTAACCTCCCGTAGCTGCACGACAAACAACAAAGGGAATTAAAAAAAAAATTGTATTCTCACTGATATATCATCTGCATAATTCTACTTATGTGAAGGGTATGATGCGAGATTACCCTCTTTTATGCTTTCGATTGGTAAGCCTGGCTTGCCAATCAGGCCGAGCAATGTCGTTCGTACGAACTTTTTTTTTTTTTTTTTTTTTAAATGTAGGAAAAAACCATCAAATTGCCACTGAAAATTGAAAACTAAAAGAATCATCATCTTATAAGCACTTCAAATAAAAAAAAAAGAAAGCTAGTTAGTTATTTTCCGTCTGACAGATAAATCCCAACTAATAAATAAGTTTGTGGTTCTTTTCCTCAGTACAGGACTTAGACGGTTCCTAATTCTTCAATGCAAAATTTTTTTTTTTAAAAAAAGGTATATTTGTTTTGCGCATGAAGCTTCCAAAATCTTTAAAATTTTCATGTTCCAGGCTGCAATTGTTCTTAGTTGTGAATAGCGTACACTTTTGCTAATATGATTGAGAGTGTGAATTTTTAGGCGGGCAATAGATAGAGAAAAAAAATGAAAATTTAAAATAATGCAAGTTGGGTGCAATTACAGAATAAGATTAAAGTTTTTATAATTTACCCTAACATGTTTTCTAATTTGTCAAAGTTAACGGCGGCCACCACCCAAAAATTTTCTACGTCAATATTATTGTTAATTCTTGTTTTGCACATTCACATTTTCAATTTTGCTATGGAATATCAGAAGCTTTTCTAGGCTAAAGGTCTCAACTCAACTAAGTGTGGATTGTTTTGCACATCCACATTTCTTGGTTATTTCTCAGATCCAAGAAGTGCCCTAAATGAGCACGTTCACAACATATACGTGCATGCATGACGTCCTTTGCTTCATTTCATGGCGGCACCGCAATGAACCGCCGACTCATTCATGGCGGCTGTCCGCTGAGTCCCAGTACTCATAGAAAATCCTCTTTTGATGAAGTCACTTGGAATGTTTAAGTAGCTTGCTTTCACCAATTGTCATGCACTAGTAGGTGAAAATATCTCATTCAGGCAACTCCTTGATTGAGTCGTCAACGTAGTGTGAATGGAAATTGGATGGAAAGCCTAGATTAGGTCAAAAATACTTTCTTTGGAGGGCCAATCAATCGACTGAGAAATTCTCAAGTTTTTTTGCCATAAGAGAAATTTTCAATTCGAAGGGTATGATTTAAAGTTTTTGTGCGATGTTCCAATTTTGCGAGTTTATCTGCGGCACCCATTTGTACGAGTTCCCTCTACCATAAAAATGAAAAAGCTGTCATGGTCCTATGAAATTTTAAAAAGGGTTAATTCCACTTTGTCCCCCCAAACTTTGGACGATTATCCACTTAAGTCCCTAAACTTCAAAATGGGACACTTAACTCCCTAAACTTATAAATACCTCCCACTTAAGTCCCTGAACTTATAAAATGGGACACTTAAATCCCTAATCCCTTATAAAATGGGACACTTCGACCACCAACGTCATTCAAGATTTGTTAACAATTTTCCTTAAGTGGGAGATATTTATAAGTTTAGGGACTTAAGTGTCCCATTTTGAAGTTTAGGGACTTAAGTGGGTAATCATCCAAAGTTTGGGGGGACAAAGTGGAATTAACCCTTTTAAAAATATTCGCAGATATCAATTTCATTTAAAAATATTCATTCCCTGTTTTTTAAGAAATTTTTCTTCTTTTTTTTGGGAATTAAGACTAAAGAGTGAATTCTTTTTTTCTTTTTTTTTTGGTTCCTGTATGCCCTTTTTCTTGGTCAGGAGTAGACAGCCATTTTCTTAACCAAGACCAAAGAAGTAAGAGGCAGACTAAAGGGCTTGAAGGCAGTTGGCAGTTGGCAATGGGCATAAAATGGGAGAGGAAGCCAATTAGCAATTTCGCTCCCATCTCATCCCCACCCAAAAAGCCACGGCCCCACTGGCGTACGTCACCACCAAAAAAATCCATGCTGCCCCGCCCAATTGTTGTAGTATAAATACCACAACCTGTTCCCAGCAATTTCCCTACCAGTGTTCTCTACCGGTAAATTCTGCCAGTGTTCTGCTTTTAATAATATTACTGCCAGTTTTATACGTAATTGCCCATATAATATACATACTGCGAGCACTGAGAAATGAGGGGACAAACCGGTACTGTTGTTTTGGCCTTCCTCTTGGTATGGGCCTTCAACCTCAAGCTCGCCGAGCTGCCGATTTTCATACGGCAGAGCGGGGCGGACGACTCAGTAGCCCCACAGC